CATTCAAAAATCGTCATATCGCACACCCCTAACTACCAAGTATAATCAATCTCACACACACAAACAAGCACAACGAAATCACTTCTCACTATTAAGCGGCTGTGTTATGAACATGCAAAACGGTATCGCACGCGTGCTACAGTGGTAAATTTATTCATCGCACAGACCAGTTATTTTGTAGCACTGTACAGCCCTGGTGTGTGTGCGAGTGTGTGTGCGAGTGTGTGAGTGTGTGTGCGAGTGCGTGTGCGAGTGAGTGTTTGTGTGCGAGTGTGTGTGCGAGTGTGCGAGTGTGTGTGCGAGTGTGCGAGTGTGTGTGCGAGTGTGCGAGTGTGTGTGCGAGTGTGCGAGTGTGTGTGCGAGTGTGCGAGTGTGTGTGCGAGTGTGCGAGTGTGTGTGCGAGTGTGCGAGTGTGTGTGCGAGTGTGCGAGTGTGTGTGCGAGTGTGCGAGTGTGTGTGCGAGTGTGCGAGTGTGTGTGCGAGTGTGCGAGTGTGTGTGCGAGTGTGCGAGTGTGTGTGCGAGTGTGCGAGTGTGTGTGCGAGTGTGCGAGTGTGTGTGCGAGTGTGCGAGTGTGTGTGCGAGTGTGCGAGTGTGTGTGCGAGTGTGCGAGTGTGTGTGCGAGTGTGCGAGTGTGTGTGCGAGTGTGCGAGTGTGTGTGCGAGTGTGCGAGTGTGTGTGCGAGTGTGCGAGTGTGTGTGCGAGTGTGCGAGTGTGTGTGCGAGTGTGCGAGTGTGTGTGCGAGTGTGCGAGTGTGTGTGCGAGTGTGCGAGTGTGTGTGCGAGTGTGCGAGTGTGTGTGCGAGTGTGCGAGTGTGTGTGCGAGTGTGCGAGTGTGTGTGCGAGTGTGCGAGTGTGTGTGCGAGTGTGCGAGTGTGTGTGCGAGTGTGCGAGTGTGTGTGCGAGTGTGCGAGTGTGTGTGCGAGTGTGCGAGTGTGTGTGCGAGTGTGCGAGTGTGTGTGCGAGTGTGCGAGTGTGTGTGCGAGTGTGCGAGTGTGTGTGCGAGTGTGCGAGTGTGTGTGCGAGTGTGCGAGTGTGTGTGCGAGTGTGCGAGTGTGTGTGCGAGTGTGCGAGTGTGTGTGCGAGTGTGCGAGTGTGTGTGCGAGTGTGCGAGTGTGTGTGCGAGTGTGCGAGTGTGTGTGCGAGTGTGCGAGTGTGTGTGCGAGTGTGCGAGTGTGTGTGCGAGTGTGCGAGTGTGTGTGCGAGTGTGCGAGTGTGTGTGCGAGTGTGCGAGTGTGTGTGCGAGTGTGCGAGTGTGTGTGCGAGTGTGCGAGTGTGTGTGCGAGTGTGCGAGTGTGTGTGCGAGTGTGCGAGTGTGTGTGCGAGTGTGCGAGTGTGTGTGCGAGTGTGCGAGTGTGTGTGCGAGTGTGCGAGTGTGTGTGCGAGTGTGCGAGTGTGTGTGCGAGTGTGCGAGTGTGTGTGCGAGTGTGCGAGTGTGTGTGCGAGTGTGCGAGTGTGTGTGCGAGTGTGCGAGTGTGTGTGCGAGTGTGCGAGTGTGTGTGCGAGTGTGCGAGTGTGTGTGCGAGTGTGCGAGTGTGTGTGCGAGTGTGCGAGTGTGTGTGCGAGTGTGCGAGTGTGTGTGCGAGTGTGCGAGTGTGTGTGCGAGTGTGCGAGTGTGTGTGCGAGTGTGCGAGTGTGTGTGCGAGTGTGCGAGTGTGTGTGCGAGTGTGCGAGTGTGTGTGCGAGTGTGCGAGTGTGTGTGCGAGTGTGCGAGTGTGTGTGCGAGTGTGCGAGTGTGTGTGCGAGTGTGCGAGTGTGTGTGCGAGTGTGCGAGTGTGTGTGCGAGTGTGCGAGTGTGTGTGCGAGTGTGCGAGTGTGTGTGCGAGTGTGCGAGTGTGTGTGCGAGTGTGCGAGTGTGTGTGCGAGTGTGCGAGTGTGTGTGCGAGTGTGCGAGTGTGTGTGCGAGTGTGCGAGTGTGTGTGCGAGTGTGCGAGTGTGTGTGCGAGTGTGCGAGTGTGTGTGCGAGTGTGCGAGTGTGTGTGCGAGTGTGCGAGTGTGTGTGCGAGTGTGCGAGTGTGTGTGCGAGTGTGCGAGTGTGTGTGCGAGTGTGCGAGTGTGTGTGCGAGTGTGCGAGTGTGTGTGCGAGTGTGCGAGTGTGTGTGCGAGTGTGCGAGTGTGTGTGCGAGAGTGTGTGCGAGTGCGTGTGCGAGTGTGTGTTTGTGCGAGGGTGAGAGTATGGAGGAAAGTGTGATCCTATTACTGACGCATGAACACACACACACACACACACTCTTTCATAGTAGTGTAGTATCTTCAGCAGATTACACAAGCGGCAGCAGCGTTTCCTCACGGATGTTCATCTGTAATCTGGATTATAGTTATTAAACCATGTAATCCCATAGTGCTTTGTTGTGTCCACATCTGTCAGCTGAATGAGTCTGTCTTGATATCAGTGAGCAGAAACGGATCAGGAAAATTATACCGTAGTAAAAGCGTGGTGTTTGATGTGTGTGCTCAGCGCTGGCGTGGGCCGCACCGGCTGCTTCATCGTGATCGACGCCATGCTGGAGCGCATCCGTCACGAGCGGACGGTGGACGTGTACGGTCACGTGACCCTGATGCGCTCGCAGAGGAACTACATGGTGCAGACGGAGGATCAGTACGGCTTCATCCACGAGGCGCTGCTGGAGGCCGTGGCATGCGGGAACACGGAGGTGGCGGCGCGCAGCCTTTGCTCCTACATACAGAACCTGTCGCAGGTGGAGGCCGGAGAACACGTGACCGGCATAGAGCTGGAGTTCAAGGTACGCTTGATAATAATCAGTGGTTCAACGGATCACAGATCTCATGGTGCATTTCCACTGGCACACTGCACAAAATTATCTTCTTAATATTTTGTCTTGTTTTCTAGTACAAATATCTAAACATTCTTGAATCAAGATGCATTTACTTGACAGATAAAATGACTTAAGAAAGATATTGTCGTTTAAAAAAAAAATGATCAAAATTGTAGTTTTTGCTTAAAATGAGCAAAAATATCTGGCAATGGGGTAAGAAAAATAATCTTGTTTAGCCTTTGAATTAAGATTACTTTTCTTACCCCATTGGCAGATATTTTTGCTCGATATACCCAGCCCTAGGTTCGGATCATATTACAGTTTTTGAGCCATGGATCGGATTGTTTTTAAGATCAGCAAGAAAATATAAAAAAGATATTTCAATGTAACTTTGCTTTCCATAAGAAGTTCTTCCTCGATGCCACAGCAAAAACTGAAAAGTATTCACTTCTTTTTTTTCATCTTACTTATAGTACCCCAAACCTTTGAATGGTAGTGTGTCACAGTTTCCACAGAAATATTGTGCAGCACGACTGTTTTCAACATTGATAATAATCAGAAATGTTTCTTGAGCAGCAAATCAGCATATTAGAATGATTTCTGAAGATCATGTGACACTGAAGACTGGAGTAATGATGCTGAAAATACAGCTGCGCATCACAGAAATACATTACAGTTTAACAGAGATTCACATAGAAAACAGCTGTTTGACATTATAATAATATTTCATTGTTTTTACTGTATTTTTTGTATTAAATAAATGCAGCCTTGGTGAGCAGAAGAGACTTCTTTCAAGAACGTTACAAAATTTGTATTATTCCAAACTTTTGACTGGTACACAATGAATATCAATGTGTTGTTATTTCACTATTGTTTAGATCATCAGAGTTTTGAAATTTTTTATGATGAATTTAAATATGCATCTATTTGAGAATGAAAGTCTGCATAGTACATAAGTAGTAAAGTAGTCAAAATAAATGATGAAGGCCTGGTAAAGTGTTTCCAGGGCAGCTTTAATGTGACCTTCAACGAAGTTCAAATCTGTTCGTTTTAGTTAAACTCAGTTTGTGACCTGCAGCAGTTTAATGCCGTGCTTCACATTATTCTGTCTGTGGTTCTGTCAGCGTCTGGCCAACAGTAAAGCGCACACCTCCAGGTTCGTCAGCGCTAATCTGCCCTGCAACAAGTTCAAGAACCGGCTGGTGAACATCATGCCGTACGAAACCACCCGCGTGTGTCTGCAGCCAATCAGAGGCCTGGAAGGATCCGACTACATCAACGCCAGCTTCATCGACGGATACAGGTACACCGCTGGACTCCAGCTCCAGATTTCATGATGTTATACGCAGTGTTGGGGGTAATGCATTACAAGTAACGCGAGTTACGTAATCAGATTACTTTTTTTAAGTAACTAGTAAAGTAAACTTTGTTTCCGTGTATTGAGTGACAGCTCTGGTGTTGCCATGGTGACAGAAATCAGGAGTAAGTGGAGAGCGTTGTGTGTGAACATGATCTTACTGTAATTCTAGACTAAATATCAACATCTATTCACTCATCTCACCTGCACAAAAACAGATTCAGTGTTCCTCAAAATCAATAAAAACAGTCAAACTCAGAATATTATACAAACCTGCAATAATTAAATATGTTAAATAAGACAAATATCATTTATGTATTTAATCACATTTTATTAACCGATGTCTTTGCTACTGACTTCGATGATCCACTTACTAATACCATACTAATAAGCAAAAATTACACATTTGTGTTTCATTTTAGTTATTGCTGAATAGTGTTGAACTTTCTTCTCCTGCATCATATTCTTCATGAGATGTGTTTGAGCGGCGCCCTCTACTGTACAGATGTGAATTTACATTTCCTTCAGCCTGAGGCGTATTCATTTCACTTTTATTGTGAAAGCGCTTTTACTTACGTTTGTAAAAGAAGAACTTTTTTTTAATAAAAACAAACAAGCAAGCCCTGCCCAGATTTAATAACTAACTCAAAAGTAATGTAACGCACTACTTTCCATAAAAAGTAACTAAGTAACATAATTGTTTACTTTTTTAGGGAGTAACGCAATATTGTAATGCATTACTTTTAAAAGTAGCTTTCCCCAACACGGTGGATAGTAGCATTGGTGGTCACGTGTCGATCTGGTGTCGATGTGTGTCCAGGCAGCAGAGGGCGTATATTGCGACGCAGGGGCCGCTAGCGGAGACCACTGAGGACTTCTGGCGCATGCTGTGGGAGCACAACTCCACCATCGTGGTGATGCTGACCAAACTGCGTGAGATGGGACGGGTGAGTGACGGCCGGAGGAAAACACGCTCCATCTGGATCTGACTGAAGCAGTCGTAACATCCGTGTGTTTGTGTGTTCACAGGAGAAGTGTCACCAGTACTGGCCAGCCGAGCGCTCGGCGCGCTATCAGTACTTTGTAGTGGATCCCATGGCAGAATACAACATGCCACAGTACATCCTGAGAGAGTTCAAAGTCACCGACGCCAGGGTGAGTCATTTACCGCGGTATGATCTGGTAAAGCTGTCAGTCTTAAGTTTGAAATCTTTCATGAAGAAACACCAGAGACACAAATGTCCCAGCAGATCCGTTTCTACAGGCTCAGGTGTTTCTCACTTCTGGAGATGTGTGATTCATTGTCTTTCTCTCCACAGGACGGACAGTCCAGAACCGTCAGACAGTTCCAGTTCACCGATTGGCCAGAACAAGGAGTTCCAAAGTCAGGCGAGGGTTTCATTGATTTCATTGGACAGGTGCATAAAACCAAGGAGCAGTTTGGCCAGGATGGACCAATCGCAGTCCACTGCAGGTGCGTTACGATCCTCACACTCAATGTTTAGAGATGTGTGCGAGGAGCAGGTCTCAGTGTGAGACTTATTCATGTCTCATTTATTTCTCATTCATGTCTTATCCTTTTCTCATTCATTCTTGTCTCATTCTTGTTTCATTCTTGTCTCATCTATGTCTCATCCATGTCTCATTCATCTCATTCTCGTCTCATTCATGTCTCATTCATTCTCGTCTCATTCATGTCTCGTTCTTGTTTCATGCATATCTCATTCATTTTTGACTCATCCATGTCTCATTATGTCTCATTCATTCTTGTTTCATTCATGTCTCATTCATTCTTGTCTGGTCCATGTCTCATTATGTTTAATTCATTCTTGTCTCATTCATGTCTCGTTCTTGTTTCATGTCATTGTGTCTCACTCATTTCTCATTCATTCTTGGCTCATCCATGTCTCATTGTGTCTCATTCATGTCTCGTTCTTGTTTCATTCATCTCTCATTCATTCTTGTCTCATCCATGTCTCATTCATGTCTCGTTCTTGTTTCATTCATGTCTCATTCATTCTTGTCTTTTCCATGTCTCATTATGTCTCGTTCTTGTTTCATTCATGTCTCATTCATTCTTGTCTCATTCATGTCTCGTTCTTGTTTCATTCATGTCTCATTCATTTTCGTCTCATTCATGTCTCATTTTTGTTTCATTCATCTCTCATTCATTCTTGTCTCATCCATGTCTCATTCATGTCTCATTCATTCTTTTCTCATCAATGCCTCATTATGTCTCATTCATTCTCGTCTCATTCATTCTTGGCTCATCCATGTCTCATTGTGTCTCACTCATTTCTCAT